TATTTCATCATCCAGACTAGAACAACCTATCAGCTGCAGGACAGGTTGATAATGAGACACAGCATAGATCCATCTATCAGATCACAACACTTCTTTTCACAAACATAAGAGACTGGTATGATGTAGTGTATCATCTGTGCGTGAAGCTTGACACAGAAACCCTGCTTGGTGCCGCTTCACTGCTGCTTGCGTTTCTGACCCAAATAAAAGCATGTGCTTAGCGTCATTCAGCTGAGCCTGGTTCTTTCTATATATATCCCCTGTTTATCCTACTCTCGAGCTTTCATCGCCACCCCTACGCTCTCCTTTATAAATTTGCTCCCACTCTACTCCATGCATCCACCTCTGCCTCTTCCACCTGCCAGTCCCAGAGCATCATCGGCATCATCAAGCTGCCTCCCCTCAACCCCCTCCCGTGCACAGGACACACACAGCTGACACACTTTACTTCAGAGCTCGATCACTCCTCTCAGCAGACAAACCGGCAGCAGAGATTTCAGACGACTTATACGTTTGGGGCTTTCCAGGGTGTAAGGGAATGGCTCCAAAAAGAGAATCCTCAATTAAGAAATCTCCTTCACCAGTGACCCAACCAAGACTGGGTCCCCCTTACCCCTGCCTCCCTCCGGCTGCTGCAGCACCGAAGACAGCTCTAGAGCAGAAACCAAGGATGCTGCGTCCCTCAGATTCACCGTTTGACCCCAGTACTTTGGAGGTGAGTGGGATTGCTGCAGTATAATTTTGTGACAAAGCTAATGTGGGGCATAAATTAGGACTATTGGAATAATAATTTCATGTCATTCGCAAAATATTGTTTAGGAACCTTAGCCAACATAATAAATCTCAGCCAGAAACACAAAATAGTGCTCATGTCAGATGTCAGTAGTGTGGACGTGTAAAAAAACACCTAATTCTTATTATCTGCTGTAGTTTTCTGTGACTCTGAAGCTCTGATAGACCAAATGGTCTTCATCAATTTACAATGAGGGACTGCAAAGAAGTGGGTCAATGAGAGTGAGACTGTCAGTTGGTGGCCTCCTTAGAGAGAAAGAGGTCGTTTCCTGCCTCAATATGCTCTATTTCTTTCATCAGGCAGGTGATTGAATAAAATCAGGAGCTTTCCCTTTGTAAGCTGCTCACAATTTTTGCAAAAAAGACAAAATGTCTAACGCCTCTATTTCAATTTTCACTGAGAGTGTGGACGTCCCTTAAGGCCTTTTTCAGACAACACACATTGACTTGTCACAGCAGGAACAGTTGCTGATGACATTATGACTATGTTCAATTTATGTGAGTTATTTTGAGGGTCCTGGTATTATGCATGCTGACACATTGCCATGGTTTACAAGGATACTTCATGGAACTGAGCCATGACAACATTTATTTCATCTGTTCTTGTCCCTGCTAAGTCAGGATGTCCGCTGTGAAAACACTTCTGGGCCTCAGACAGAAGCTGACCTCTGGCTAAGCTGTGTCACAGACCTCTTTCACACCAGACACATCCACTTGTCATGGCAGGAAAAGCAAAGATGTTACGAATAATATTAGCAATCCATTCTATTCAACAGTCCCATTGAACATGACAGTGTGACAGTGATGCAGGATGCACAATACCGGGACCATGAAGCCAAAACAGCAAAGAGAATTCAGTGTTATGTCTGCATATCACTAATAAACTGGTAGTAGCATCTCCTGGCTGCAACCCTGTATATATAATAA